GTCATAGGAGTCTTGAGGTTTTTTGCAGTAAAATTTGCAAAAATATATTCTCCACATTCATCACTATAGCAAGTAGTGTTATAACAAGATAGTTTATTAGAGTAATAGATTGCAATACCACCTCCAGCTTGGTATGGTCTGCAGTTGTGGATTGCTGTGTATCCTGGTAGTGAGTAGATATCTATTGTGTCCTGCTTAAGCCAGGTTTCAGTAAGAATAATACAGGAGAAGGTTGTCTTCAAGGAATCAAGGAGTGCCAGGAGGTTATCATAGTGTTTGCTTAGGGACCTGATATTGTAGTTAAGAACTGTAATATTTTTAGGACATTGTTGGCTTGTGATGCTGTGTAACAGAGGCAGTTGCTATCCATTAAAATTTGATTGGGAGTAAGATTATACGTATAGGTTTAGATCTGGGTCGATGAGATTATTCGTCATTTTGGTTAAATGGTACTTTTTTATATCACGTATAGTGTGTCGAGTTACAGTACTGATATCTGTATTAGGGGGATGTTTGGACAAGTAGATAGCTAATATATGCTGGTAAAGTAGTGTAGAAACTAATAAACATAATGAACTTAGTGTTGACTATGTATTAATCTAAAATGAACTAGAGCATTAACTAGGTATAAACTATTAAGATAAAATTATAAAATAATGTAGCACAAGACTGTGACCTGTAATTGCACTAAAGTTAACATAAGTTGTTTACAATAGATAGTAGAATAATATGTGCACAGTTCTAATTTAAAGACTATGTGAGTTTTTGCAGTGCTATAATTATAAGATGGTAAACAACAGGTATTTATAAACTGTAAATGGGAATATTTGGCAATAACCGACAGTAGAATAAAATGTGCAATTTTAAATTAAAAAGTAAATGGATTTCAGCAGTGATATGATAAGATGGTAAACAACAGATATTAATAACAGATATAAAAGATTGTAAATTGGAATATTTGGCAACAGATTTTAAAAAAAAGTATAAAATAAAATAGGGCAATGATATGGTAAATTACAATTACACAAAAAAGTAGTAGAAATAATAAAGAAAAATTTTGTAGTGATTAAAAATAATTAAGACTACAAGGTAGAGTGGTAAATGAATACAAGAGTGAAATACAAAAGTAGTATTAAGGTATTAGAATTTAACCCTTAAATGGTCCAAACGTATATATACGTTTTTTCAACATCTGAAAGCATGTAAAAAAATGTAGATCTTTTTTTGTTGTTTTACATGTGAAAACATGTAAAAAAACTTTTATCTACATTTTTTTTTTGTTATATTTGAAAATATGTAAAAAAAGGTAGATCTACTTTTGTAGCATTACGAATTTGAACGTCGATCTGTTTGGACCGTTTAAGGGTTAAGGATAATAGACTCAAATTTCATACACATATACAACAAATTTCTAAGAAAATTTCCAAGACTGTAGGCATACTATCGAAGATACGGTACTATGTTCCACAGTCAGCCCTCCTGGCCCTTTATCACTCTCTTATTTACCCCTATCTCACCTATGGAATTTGTGCATGGGGCTCAACAACAATTAACCATCTCAGACCACTAATTACCCAACAAAAGGCTGCAGTTAGAATGATAACAAATTCTCACTACAGGCAGCACACTCCACCAATATTCAATACACTAAACCTACTCACCATACAAAACATCCATACTTATTACTGCACCTATTACATACATAGAACACTTAACTCTGATATTAACCCTCCCCTCAAACATCTCCTTGCCAACCTCAACAGAAACATGACCATAACACAAGGCACAGATCACTCTTTGATGTTCCTCGTGTCCATCTCACACTATGCAAAAACTCAATGCACAAAAAAGGCCCCTAAAATCGGAATTCATTACCTGTAAATATAAAAGAAACACTCCCTTTTAAAAATTTAAAGTCTTTTCTCAAAGATCATTACTCACCCAAAACCAAAAAATACTGAAAAACTGACCTTATAAATTGTATATTTTAAAATGTTTCTCAAAATTTAAATTCACTAAATTTAAACCAAAAACCCCAATCTAATTTTATTTTTTTTTAAATCCTACCTAACAGAATACTCAAACACTGAATGTACAACAATGCTGCAACCATATGACCTGCTTTGTTACTCACTTGTGTTTAAGTAATCTTTTTTACTTTAAATGTTTTATCACTGATTTCTCATTGCTTAGTTTAATTTTAAGTTAATTTTAAGCCACCCAAAGCTATGCATAGTATAAGGGTTTTGGCATGCGCTTTTATCTGTATTTTTTTGTACCTCTGTTGTGTGCTCAAATTTTAAATAAAAAAAAAAAAATAAATAAAAAAAAATAAAAAAATAAATAACAGTATATAACAGTTACGGGTAGTTCAAAATATATTTGGGGAGGGTGGGTATCACATAATTTTAAAAACCAAAAACCCAATCTAATTTAAATTATTTTTAAATACATCCCTAACAGAAACCCCCCTTTCCAACTGAATGTACAGCAAGCATCAACCTATGCCCTGTTTTGTAACTCATTTTGCTTTATATTTACGTTTAAAAAATTTTTTTTATCACTATTTCATCTTGCTTAGTTAAATCTTAATTTAATTTTTAAAGCCAGCCCGAAATGCTATGCATTAAGTGGTTTTTGGATGCTGCTCTTCCCTGTATTTTTTTGACCTCTGTTGTACTCAAATTACAAATAAAATAAAATAAATAATAAATTGCACTTTATTCTGATCAGTTAAACCAGCCTCACAAAGGGAATTTTTTTATTTCATATCTGTAAGATGAATCCTCTTCCCATGGGTTTTCCCAACTGCAATTTCTGTCCCTCACAAAACACTGATGGATTTTTTGGGTTTTGGGGGTAAATTTTTTTAGCAAAAAGGAGGTTTTGCCCTTTTTTGGTAAGGGACCATTAACATTACCCAATTTCAAGAAGGATGTTTTTTAACAGGGTATTTTTTGCAAGCTGGTGTTGGGTTTTTTAAAGAACTGTTTTTTTTTCCCCAAATGGTAGCCCCTCAGTTTTGCAATCTTTGACATCATCACTAGTTGTTTTAAAGGGGAAGGGGTCCTTTTTAAGCTGTAGGGGGCCTCCATGCAGTCTCTTGGGGGACTGTAGGTGGGAAGGGTTCTATTTAAATACAAAACTCAGATAGGAATTTGGTCTTATGGGCTTGGAAGTTGTTGATGACTTCGGAGAGTTGGTAATTAGTTGGTAATTTAGTTTCAGTTGCAATACTTCTGCAAATCTGAATTTTGAGTTGCACACCTTCTGAGTGGTACAACATTATGCCGCAACCCATGCCAGGCAGCACCGAAGTCAACGGAGCTGACAAATGAAGATTTGATGGAGCTGGAAGAGATGCAGCGTAAGGAAGAGCAAGAGGATCAAGATGAAGCTGTTCCTTCTAAAAAGTTTGAGACAAAAATGATGGCCAAGGCATTTTCTTTTATAGAGAGGTCTCTGTATGTTTGAGCTTCAGGACCCCAATATCAAGAGATTCTCAAAGGTTTCAACTGGTGTTAACAATTATATTTCATGCTACCGTCTTATAAATGACGAGAAGAGAAAAACGGTGCAAACTTCCTTAGACAAATTCTTCGGCCCAGTGCCTTCTACCTGAAAAGCCTCTTCGGACGTTACAAAAACCCAGGTGTACAAAACTCTGAGGAAACACTTGATGACGAAGTATATGGGAACAAAAAAGATATCACGAAATAGCGAAATAAAATTAGCAAAATCTAACTTTATTATTTTTTAAATACACTACCTAACAGAATACTCCATACGACTGAATGTACAACAATGCATGCAACCATATGACCTGTCTTTGTAATACTCACTTGTGCTTTATAGTAATCTGTTTACATTAATGTTTTATCACTGATTTCATCATTGCTTAGTTAATCTTAAGTTAATTTTAAGCCAGCCCATAATGCTATGCATAGTATAAGTGGCTTTGGCATGCTGCTCTTATCTGTATTTTTTTGTACCTCTGTATGTGTGCTCAAATTGTTAATAAATAAATAAATAAATAAATAAATAAATAAATATGAGGTGGACGACCCTCTCCCCCAGTAGCCCCACACAAACTCCGGGGTTCAAATCTTCTCCGGTATGGCTTGAAAACATTAGGGACGTGTTTCTCTAAGACACCTGCTGTCCCTGTCCATGTTCACCCATCAGTTTAAAATGGGTACCTGGGTGTTAGTCAACTGGTGTGGGTAGCATCCTGGGATAAAACTGACCTAATTTGCCCGAAGTGCTCAGCATAAAGGGTTTTTCTGTATTGTAGTATGTCACTGATGTCAGCTAGACCTGTATACCTTGTATATGTACTTGTAGTAAATAGATATTATTATTATATTAGATCAAGGGCTCTGGTGGCCTGGTGGTTAAAGCTCTCGCTTCACACAGCGAGGGCTTGGGTTCGATTCCCAGCCAGAGTAGAAACATTGGGCGTGTTTCTTTCCACCTGTTGTCTATGTTCACCCATCAGTAAAATGGGTACCTGGGTGTTAGTCGACTGGTGTGGGTCGCATCCTGGGACACTGACCTAATTTGCCCGAGATGCTCAGCATAACAAGTGGCTTTCTATGTAGTAGTATGTTATTGTTGTCAGCTAGGACTGTATACCTTGTACATGTACCTGTAGTAAATAAAGATTATTATTATTATTATTATTATTCACCTGTACCAAAATACATTTATTTACTTACTATTAAGTAAAGCTTGTGGAGTGACTGAACACAAATGAAGATGCAGCAAGATTATTACAAAAGAAATACAATAATATATTCAGAGTATTCTGTCAAAGGAAGAGAAGGGCAGATCCAATTTCTTGAATCAAAAACCCCCCTTTTTTTTTTATCCTAGGTAACCTACAAATATACCGCTATGTATGATAATTTATGCAACTGTATTTGTGTAACTGTACCTGAATAAGTTAGTTACTCCCAAGGGTGGGGTTCCCAGATAAATTTTCTCTCATTTTAACTTACACATGAAGAAATGTCCAAGATGTGGCACGTGTTCTTGGCGTCTGGTGAACTGAATGTATATTCTCCTTTACGATACACGAAATATGCATTTATTCCTTCTTTATGGTGCCAGCAGTGTGGTTGAGGTCCTCTTCTTCATTAACAAGACGTAAATATTGTGACAGCGTTTAATATTTTGGGATCCAAGCAACCACGTTGACTCGTGTTGCTGGGTGTAAGAGACTGTGTCTCGAGGAGCCGTGTCAACACTACCGTCCTTGATCAATTAGACATGTGCAACACTTGGTAATCTTTATGAAAAAAACGTTTCACCACATGATGCCTTCATTATTTCAATACAAAGAAGAGTGGTGAAGATCAGAAGGAATTTGAGGTAACAAGTCCCTCCCTGGAGTCGATGGTCATCGACTCCAGGCTGAGGGACTCATTATCTCAACTCCTGATCTTCAGTAAGTTTGTTAGGTAAGACACATATGCAACAGTTAGGTATCTTTATTTCGAAACGTTTCGCCTACACAGTAGGCTTCTTCAGTCGAGTACAGCATATGTTGCATATGTGTCTTACCTAACAATCTGTCGGTATTTTATACCATTTTAATATTCATTCTGTCAGACACTGCAACACAAGGGTATCTTGGTACAGACCATCAACTTCGACAACCTCTACTAGTGAGAACGGCTGGGTTTGAGAGGGACCTGCCCTCCCAAAGCAACCTACGTCTCACCTCCTGGCACTATATAAGGCTCCATCCTGTCACTTCAACTTCATATTGTTTCAGACAACGGAACAATGCTCTTCTCCAGACTGAGGGACTGACCACCTCAAAACTTTAAGGGTGATGGACTGATTACATCGTCTTCAAGTATCTTCTGCTTCTATCAACTTTGCTGTACTCGACTGAAGAAGCCTACTGTGTAGGCGAAACGTTTCGAAATAAAGATACCTAACTGTTGCATATGTGTCTTACCTAACAATCTGTCGGTATTTTATACCATTTTAATATTCATTCAGTAAGTTTATTCAGGTATACATAAATACAGTTACATAGATTATCATACATAGCAGCATATATGTAGAGAACCTAGTATAACCAAAAAAAGTGACTTATTTCCATTGGGGTCCTTTTAATACCTTATTATTATACAATGTAGGAGATATCTTATTATTATAGGCCCGGTGGCCTGGTGGCTAAAACTCCCGTTCACACACGGAGGGCCCGGGTTCGATTCCCGGCGGGTGGAAACATTTCGACACGTTTCCTTACACCTGTTGTCCTGTTCACCTAGCAGCAAATAGGTACCTGGGTGTTAGTCGACTGGTGTGGGTCGCATCCTGGGGAACAAGATTAAGGACCCCAATGGAAATAAGTTAGACAGTCCTCGATGACGCACTGACTTTCTTGGGTTATCCTGGGTGGCTAACCCTCCGGGGTTAAAAATCCGAACGAAATCTTATCTTATCTTATCTCTTAAAGTAAAAAGAGTTATTTACATGTGTGCTCGCTAAAAAAAAATAAAAAATCATTCTCCTCCCTTTTTTTTTTGTTTAATTGTTTATTATGCACCCCACCCCCTCTGGGGGCGGTAGTAAAAGTTAAGAGGAATAAAATGGGTAAGGGACTGGACCCCAAAGTTTGTGTGGCAAGTTAATTAGAGTACATGAATAAAAAAAAAAAAATCTTTTCCCTATAGTACCGGGTTTTTTCCGTAGGTAAAAAGTATTAAAACAACACCCCTGTTATTTCTATAAGGTTTCAATGCTGGGGTTTAAGAAATTTGGTTATTGTTTGGTTTCATGTGTAAAATTGTGTTTTACGAGTGTACACTAGAACGCTTACTGGTAGGATTTGGGATACTTATTTTTATTTTAATTGTAAATATTACAAATTGAGGTAGTTGGAAATATGGCTAGTGACTAATACTAGTTTATGGTTTAGCAATGTGAATGCTTTTGTTTTGGCCCCAAAGTATTATAGTTTCAGTATTGGAGTATCACAGATTCATATTTAAGATGAGATTATATTTCTGTTATGTCAAATGAGTGAGCGGGTGTAAGGTGAACCCCAGGTGGTATTCGTGTAGTTATTTGGAACGGGGTGTATCAGGGAGATTGATTTTTCTATGGTGTTTTGAAGGTGATGAATGTGTCTCTGCCAGTTCTAGGTTCTCAGGTTAGGGTATTCCAGATTTAGGGCCGTCTTGACATACATTGAATTTTTGTAAAGGTTTAGTCGGACCGGGGAAATGTTCAATAGAGATGTTTGTGTTGGTGTTATGCCTGTGGGTTTGTCAAACTATTTCAAGAAAGCGTTTTAGGTACAAGCGTTGATATAGAGTTTAAGGCCTGCTAGATATTTAGATTGCACAGTAGTAAGTGTGGATTCGTCTGAAACTGGGATAAGTGTAGATCTTTGAAAGAGTGGGGGGGTGTGCTTGCCGGGATGGGATTAGGATTATACTTACTGCAGCTTTTTTGTTGGGTTATTATTGGCCTTTAGGTGTGTTGCTGCAGTTGATCCCAAGCACAACTAGCATAGTTGGGTTATGGATTAAAAGTGAGTGGTAAAGTGTGAGAAGGGCATTTTGCGGCACGTAAAGTATCGTATCTTGGAGAAAAATCCAAACCGTTTTGTACTTTTTTGGCTATATGCTTGTATATGGGTGCTAAATTCAGGTTGTTGTAAAAGTATTAAGCTAGGAATTTTCCCCCATTATGACTGGTAATTAGAGTGTTGTCAATCTTAATGTTAATTGTGTTCCTGCTCTGCTACAAAAAATTTAGTATAGTAAGTTTGTCGTGTTAAGCGTAACAAGTTTATTGGCTGTCATCCAAGTCGATTTTAATCAGCTCTCATTCACAATGGGTTGAGGGTGGCAAGATTGTGGTTAGAGATGACGTACAGTACGTGTCATCAGCAAAGAGTTGGGTTCTAGGTGTTGGGATACGTTTGGAAGGTTACATTGAGTGTATATGGGATTATGGCTAAGGGACCAAAGGACACTTTCCCTGCGGAACTCACAGTATCAAGTGGCGTGTTGCTGATGCTGTGTCTTTTAAGGTGACGTTACTGATACCTATTAGTATATGTAAAGATTTGAAATAAGCAAGCGCATGGCCTCTTTATACCGTAGTGGTCAAGTTTGTGGAGTAGGATTTGGTGAGTTTACTGTGTCAAAAGCTTTTCTTAGGTCAATAAAATTCCTAGTGGTATTCCTTATTTTTCCAATGCTGTTAAGCATATCTTGCATTTTTTATGTTGCATAAATTTGTGCTTTTATTTTTCCTGAATCCAAACTGCAGGGGTTGAGGTATGTTTTGAGCCGTTATAAATGATATACAGTCTTTGTACAACGAGTTTCTCAAAGATTTGGATAGCAGATGGTAATTAGATATTTGGCCTTTGTTGTTTATTAGTCTGTAGGGTCACCACACTTATGTATGGTGTAACCTTGCCAAAATTGAGTAGTTTCGGGAAGGTTGCTAGTCCTATTGACTTGTTAAAAAGTATGAAATAGCTAATGCGAAAGGACATGGCGCTCGCTTGTTCAGTATTGGTGGGACATGAGAAGATTCCCCGAGTTATTTTTTAAGGTGACTTTATGATCCAATGACTTCCGTTGGTCTCAGTTGGTGCAGATGAAGGAATTAGGGAAATTCCAGTCTAGTATAGTCCCTGGCATGGGTTTGGTATGTGGGATTTTATGGACGAGATAAGTCCTAGTTGAGAAAGAAGTCGTTTATCTGTTTGCTGTGGTCAGTTTACCTGGAGTTACTGGAGGAGAGTTTCGGGGTCAACGCCCCCCGGCCCGGTCTGTGACAGGCCTCTGGTGGATACGCCTTGATCAACCAGGCTGTGCTGCTGGCTGCACGCATAAAAACGTACGAGCCAGCACCGGTGAGTCAGGAATGTCTTTAGGTGTTTGGTTCGTGCCAGCTTTTTTGAAGTGCAGGGGTCTGTTGGTAATCCCCTTATTTGTGCTGGGGGCATGTTTGAAACAGTCTCGGCCCCTGAACTTATTGTATGTTCTCTTAACGTGCTTGTGAACCCTGACTTTTCATTGGGGGGAATGTTTGTCCGATTTGCAAGTCTTTGCTTCGTGTAGAGTTTTCCGATTTTGGTGCAAGTTAGGTTACTAGCCTCTAGGATTTCCGGTGTATATAATCATGTATTTCCCTCCTGCGTTCAAGGGATCAGGTTTTAAACCTCAAGAAAGCGCTCCAGAATGAGGTGTTTTATTCCGTTATGCGCGGCGTGAGAAGTTCTCTGTACATTTTCTAGGTCGGCAATTTCACCTGCCTTGAAAGGTGCTGTTAGAGTGCAGCAATATTCCAGCCTAGATAGAACAAGTGACCTGAAGAGTGGGATGTAGTGGTGTTTCATTAGGTTTAGTTAGGACAATATTCTTGGTTTTTCTCAGTTTGTGGGTCCCTAGAATCTGAGAGAGTGTTTTCCAGGTCTTTTTTTATATCTCCTCTAGTGTCTGTGAATCTACTGGAGTAGTATAGTTGTTTGGCTTTTTTTATTACTTTGGTGAGAGCTGATGAACAGTGTTTAAGAGTATCTTTGTGTATTAAGCCCTGCAAACAGTACACGCTAAAATAAGACTCACTAAGTATTAATCATTTATAGGCACCGCCACGCAAAATGTGACCAAAGAAACACCAAAAGAAAATTTTTACAAAATAAAAAGTACTTGTCATAACCTATTACAACAATAAACAACATACAATGCACAACATCACAAGGTTACTAAAGGTAAAGTTGTAACACATGACTAAAGCCATAACCACCTTTAACACACAATATATATACAACACAAATCATGTCAGTAAAGTAAAAAGACCCTTACTAAAGCTACCATAACAGCTATAAAACAGACACAACACCGAACATACCCGCTATGACAGGGTACAGAGTATTGATTAAAGTTGTTACATTATAGCCTAACCAATAGGGATTCTGAAGGAACGTATGATTCCTTATACACAATAACCATGGAAAAACAGTATTTTAATATTATTAAAATGTTAGACCATCAAGTACAATAATTCTTGTGCAGAAAACAGAACAACATACATGTAACATAAAATAATAAAATAAAATAAACCCCAATACAAGCTTTCACAATATTATAAAACTCAGCACATCAAAAGGGTTTAAATACCAAACCCTACACAGAAATTAAACCTCCCACATATGTATATAAACCGAAACTCTTGTCCACAAAAAATTTAGGTATAAACCCCATAATAA